AGTCGCCTCATATGCTCATTGACATGCAAAAATAAAAATGGTACTTTGCATGCTAGAAATGAAAAAAAGCTCAATTTGACGGTACGTTTGCATGACAACAAATGTACTAAAAACGAAAACGTTTTTCTTTTGCGTTTTTGAAAAGTTTCACATACAGATGACAGCATTGTCTAAAATGATTCCTGTTCACACAGATCCACAAACTGAACTACTGGATACACAACAACAACAGTCCCACATTGACAAGCGTTTGTGTGAAAGTACTTGCAGCTCTGGTTTAAAAGAGTAAAAGGCATTTTTGTAACTTCTGGAGAGAAGTGGTGCAGACACTGGACAAACTTTTCAGTTCCCATGTGTTGTCCGATGGTCATCGCACATGCTATTATATGGAGAGTACTTTAAAAAGGCTGTGTGTTCAGCTGTGTTTGTATACGCTAAGTGCTTGTGTCAAAACTGAAGTGGTCAAAAGCTGCCCTGCAATGAAAGAAATATTTTACCAGTTTGTCTCAATTGCAACAAATGTGGCCACTTTACACCTGTGTAAACCTGTCCAAACCTGACATCACCACTAGTCTTTTTTCACATTGTACCTTTGATTCCAAACTCCAGTGTGTTATTTAGGTATGCACTCTATTATTTTGTAATACATTTCCTAAATGCATGTCTATCTTTTATATTTACTTCTATAATATCAACATGAATTGATGGGTTTTAGGATGGATATACATGTACAGTGGGGCAAAAAAGTATTTAGTCAGCCACCAATTGTGCAAGTTCTCCCACTTAAAAAGATGAGAGAGGCCTGTAATTTTCATCATAGGTATACCTCAACTATGAGAGACAAAATGAGAAAAGAAAATCCAGAAAATCACATTGTAGGATTTTTAAAGAATTAATTGGTAAATTCCTCGGTAAAATAAGTATTTGGTCACCTACAAACAAGCAAGATTTCTGGCTCTCACAGACCTGTAACTTCTTCTTTAAGAGGCTCCTCTGTCCTCCACTCGTTGCCTGTATTAATGGCATCTGTTTGAACTTGTTATCAGTATAAAAGACACCTGTCCACAACCTCAAACAGTCACACTCCAAACTCCACCATGGCCAAGACCAAAGAGCTGTCAAAGGACACCAGAAACAAAAGTGTAGACCTGCACCAGGCTGGGAAGACTGAATCTACAATAGGTAAGCAGCTTGGTGTGAAGAAATCAACTGTGGGAGCAATTATTAGAAAATGGAAGACATACAAGACCACTGATAATCTCCCTCGATCTGGGGCTCCACGCAAGATCTCACCCCGTGGGGTCAAAATGATCACAAGAACTGTGAGCAAAAATCCCAGAACCACACGGGGAGACCTAGTGAATGACCTGCAGAGAGCTGGGACCAAAGTAACAAAGGCTACCATCAGTAACACACTGCGCCGCCAGGGACTCAAATCCTGCAGTGACAGACGTGTCCCCCTGCTTAAGCCAGTACATGTCCAGGCCCGTCTGAAGTTTGCTAGAGAGCATTTGGATGATCCAGAAGAGAATTGGGAGAATGTCATATGGTCAGATGAAACCAAAATAGAACTTTTTAGTAAAAACTCAACTTGTCGTGTTTGGAGGAGAAAGAATGCTGAGTTGCATCCAAAGAACACCATACCTACTGTGAAGCATGGGGGTGGAAACATCATGCTTTGGGGCTGTTTTTCTGCAAAGGGACCAGAACGACTGATCCGTGTAAACGAAAGAATGAATGGGGCCATGTATCATGAGATTTTGAGTGAAAACCTCCTTCCATCAGCAAGGGCATTGAAGATGAAACATGGCTGGGTCTTTCAGCATGACAATGATCCAAAACACACCGCCCGGGCAACGAAGGAGTGGCTTCGTAAGAAGCATTTCAAGGCCCTGGAGTGGCCTAGCCAGTCTCCAGATCTCAACCCCATAGAAAATCTTTGGAGGGAGTTGAAAATCCATGTTGCCCAGCGACAGCCCCAAAACATTACTGCTCTAGAGGAGATCTGCATGGAGGAATGGGCCAAAATACCAGAAACCGTGATCCCAGAACCACACAGGGGGATCTAGTGAATGACCTGCAGAGAGCTGGGACCAAAGTAACAAAGGCTACCATCAGTAACACACTGCGCCGCCAGGGACTCAAATCCTGCAGTGCCAGACGTGTCCCCCTGCTTACGCCAGTACATGTCCAGGTCCGTCTGAAGTTTTCTAGAGAGCATTTGGATGATCCAGAAGAGGATTGTGAGAATGTCATATGGTCAGATGAAACCAAAATAGAACTTTTTGGTAAAACCTCAACTTGTCGTGTTTGGAGGAGAAGGAATGCTGAGTTGCATCCAAAGAACACCATACCTACTGTGAAGCATGGGGGTGGAAACATCATGCTTTGGGGCTGTTTTTCTGCAAAGGGACCAGGACGACTGATCCGTGTAAACGAAAGAATGAATGGGGCCATGTATCGTGAGATTTTGAGTGAAAACTTCCTTCCATCAGCAAGGGCATTGAAGATGAAACGTGGCTGGGTCTTTCAGCATGACAATGATCCAAACACACCGCCCGGGCAACGAATGAGTGGCTTCGTAAGAAGCATTTCAAGGTCCTGGAGTGGTCTAGCCAGTCTCCAGATCTCAACCCCATAGAAAATCTTTGGAGGGAGTTGAAAATCCGTGTTGCCCAGCGACAGCCCCAAAACATTACTGCTCTAGAGGAGATCTGCATGGAGGAATGGGCCAAAATACCAGCAACAGTGTGTGAAACCTTGTGAAGACTTACAGAAAACGTTTGACCTCTGTCATTGCCAACAAAGGGTATATAACAAAGTATTGAGATTAAATTTTGTTATTGACCAAATACTTATTTTCCACCATAATTTGCAAATAAATTCTTTAAAAATCCTACAATGTGATTTTCTGGATTTTTTTTCCTCATTTTGTCTCTCATAGTTGAGGTATACCTATGATGAAAATTACAGGCCTCTCTCATCTTTTTAAGTGGGAGAACTTGCACAATTGGTGGCTGACTAAATACTTCTTTTCTCCACTGTACATGACACATATGTCCAAAAATGTATTACACGAACATAAATGCACATGCAGTAGATATATTTGTTTATATATAATATTGTTCCAATTTCTAATATGTGGTGAACGCTGTGGTGTGAAATTGTCCTTAATGAAGCCCTATCTATTCCACCATAAGTACTGTGGTTGAAGGCTTTTTATTCATGTCGTCTGACTCTTTGTGCATGCTGAAAAACTGTGAGGTCAGCTGTACGTATTCGATGAACATTCGTGTCAAATCTGAAACATATGTTAGGCCTTTGATTCCAAACCCCAGTATGCTGCCGTCATCAACCGTAACTTTTCTACCATTTTTATTCACGTTTTTGTCACTTTGAATTCAGCACCAAATCTTTCAACACCTGAAACAGCACTTGCAATAGTAGTTCACTTCCGTTACTTGCGTACGGATTATGTTCCTACTAGTACTGTCAAACGATTAATCACATCCAAAATAAAAGTTTTAGTTTTCATAATATATGTGTGTGTACTGTGTAAATGTATTATGTACAGTATATACAGTATAAATACACACACATGCATGTATACATTTCAGAAAAATATGTTATGTTCATATATTATATATATATATATAATACAAATTATATGAATATGTAAATACATGTAAATATTTTCTAAATATATGCTTTATGTGTGTGTATTTATATACACATAATAAATATACACAGTACACACACATATATTATGTAAACCAAAACGTTTATTTTTGGATGCGATTAATCGCGATTAATCGTTTGACAGCGCTAGTTCCTACCCACTGTGAACCACACCTGAGTTCAAATAAATTGCACCCCAGACCATCTTTTGAAGAGAACTCGGTTGCTGTTTATAAGAAAATGAACCGAACTCTGACGTCAAATGGCACCAAAAGCTATGGTGTGAAATGAAGGGCTGTAAGTGCTGTGGTTGTAGGCTCTTTATTCAGGCGCCGACTGTCTCTCTCTCCATTTCTCTCTCTCCCTCCATCCCCTCTTTCGCTGACACGCACAGAGCTCATTAGCACATGGAGTGCTCTCAGCCCTCGCTGAATGTGACCCTGCCTAATTGTGCAGCAGGTTCATTTGCTCGCCCTGCATGATGTAGTGATTGCTTATTTGTTCTCCTCAGGGCTTCTCTCGCACATTAAAATGATTGACGCATTTCATTCAGGGTACATTTACAGAGCTTTATTTGATAAGCTCATGCCCAAGGTACCCACATCCATCTTATTCTCATGCTCAAAAGTTATAATGTCTACCACTGCGGATTATTATTCATGCAGCTGATTGTTTCCCCGGTTAATTATCTGTGTTTGAATAATTTTGCATGTGCAAGCCTGTTTATCCTTCCGGAATTAAGCAGCGCAAAAGGTCTCGCATTAGCCATGCCGCTGAAGTCAACGACGAGCCCATTGTATATTCTAAGCTTTCTGAGACAGACAGTGAAGAGTTCGGGGAATACGAGGAACGGTGATTTTCTCCTTAAATAAAGGGTGAAATTTGCATGCAGCCACAGAGACACTGTGCGTAAAAAGAGATACATATTTGGCTAATAAGCTGGATTTGTTTTCCACAGAGAGCATAAGGCTCGACTAAAAACCTTGATGAACTGTTCAAGAATGAGAGTGCTCATTATATTATATGTATATTCGTCAGTAGCCTTTGACCTTTCATCTTCCACGCAACAGTGGTCAGACCTTCAGTGCTCTCAGAAATCAAAAGCAGAGCTAGGAAGAAGCCAAAGCCGGTCAAGAAAGAGAAAGAGAGAGATGCAGTTAGAATAAAGTATCTATCTGCCAATGTCATGCGCGAGAGTGTAATTATGATGGACATGTCTGGAAATAATGGTTGTTTAGTTAATTGGAGGAGCCCATTGAAGCAGTAATGACCTTGTTTATGAGGTGGCTGTAAATAAAATTGTATGTTGTTTATTCTTACAGTGAAGAATGAGGCAGAGGAAGAAGAAAGCACTTCCTGACCACCAGCAGCGCAAGTCTGTGCCAGTCAGTGCCTGATCGACGTGGATGGCTATAGAATTGTTTTCTGCAAACAAACTCACTCTTCGATCCTTTCTTCATCACTGACTCGATGAGTTCTAGAAAAATACGATTATCAAATGATGACTTATAATGACCTTATGACATATAAATGTCCAAAATAGCCAATCAAATCAATTTGCCGACTTCTGTCCATCAAACACACTCAATTGTCTGTCTGTCTGTCTCCTATTTGGCAAATTCCCAGCATTATGGTAAAAGGGTCTTGTTGTGGTGCATGTACTTCAGATACGAGGTATGCTGAGAGGCTAGTGAATGTTTGTTCCATTCCTGAAACCAGTCATTAGTCTCGAAAAAGGACTAAACTTCTGAATGATCATCCAAAAGCAAAACATCTCTATGTTTGCACAAAGGAAAGGAATAGAATACAGTGTGATAAATGTTTACAAAAAGGAGAATCATTATGTTCCTGGTTTGTTTGTTGAAGTTGTAAAAAATACTGGTTTACTTTGGATGTTTGTACTTGTAGTAAAAGTGTTGTAGAATGTGCAAGCAAAATTTATATTATGATTCTGACATTTGACCCACAAATTTCATGGTTAAATGCAGGTGCACAGACCCAAAATAGTTCATGCATATGATTTTTTTAATATTTTTGTTGTTAATGCCATGCCCTACTGTTTGAGCTTCAGAAAAGCGCACGCACACAAAATCAAACTTTAAGATTTAGGGGAAAAAATTAAATGCTGTTTATAATGTTCACATTTTGTGAAAAACAGATGTTTTTAAAACAGTTGTTAAAAACAGTTTTAAAAATCATATGATCTCCTGTTTACTTTTTTAGTAATGTGTAAAAAATATGAATGTTAAAGGTTTACTGTTTTTACCTGATTTTAATTTTTAATTTTTTTAGTTTGTGATTTTTGGTTAATTGTATTGAATTCATTTAAGATCAGTTGACCCAGAACATAACGATTACTTCCAGAATATTAACATAATACAAGGGATAAATAAAGAAACACTAAAGTGCATAAACAAACCTGAACCAGCATGAGAATTCATGTCTAAACTGGACTTTCCATCTGAGTACTCATCGTAAAAATTATTACATCTCATCTGTTGATGAAACCTGATTCATTTCGTAATAGCTCTGTACTAAGTATCTGATGCCCTTCGTGTTCATTTATATACTGACATCAGCTGCTAATTTATTTTTGTCTTTCAAATCAAATTTGTTGACGTGCAATACTTACATTTTTAATGAACATTCTACTGTGAATTTTGTGCCTAGTTACATTTCTACTTCACAGAGATGAATGAGTGAGTGAATTCTAATGGCAAGTAAAGTTTCAATGCTGTTTCTGTCATAGTTTGTGGTTTAAAAAAGTTAAAGGTAATGCTTGTATTTGCACATTAATCAACCATGTAATAATGCCTCATATGACTGATAGCTTAATAACTAACATTTGAATGGATTTTACGTTGAAGGCAATGGAAACCTGATTCATTTCGTAATAGCTCTGTACTAAGTATCTGATGCCCTTCGTGTTCATTTATATACTGACATCAGCTGCTAATTTATTTTTGTCTTTCAAATCAAATTTGTTGACGTGCAATACTTACATTTTTAATGAACATTCTACTGTGAATTTTGTGCCTAGTTACATTTCTACTTCACAGAGATGAATGAGTGTGTGAATTCTAATGGCAAGTAAAGTTTCAATGCTGTTTCTGTCATAGTTTGTGGTTTAAAAAAGTTAAAGGTAATGCTTGTATTTGCACATTAATCAACCATGTAATAATGCCTCATATGACTGATAGCTTAATAACTAACATTTGAATGGATTTTACGTTGAAGGCAATGAAAAGATTTCAGTGATGTCGTATCATTCAGCCAGCAACATTAATAGCACTTTTAAATGATTAAATAATGTCATGCCTTATTCACTATGTCATCGTGCAGTTCCTAAAAACACAAATCAGTCAATAAATGTGATACATGTTTGTATTTCGCAGCTTTTTTTAACTAGTCAGGATTCAATTAAACCATTTCTGTGGATGACTGGAAGACAGCAGCAAGCTATCTATTTTCCTTACGTGTCAAGTGCATGCTTTAATTTTTCTATTTCAGATCAGGATGCTATTTACAATAAAATCCTCCTGCTTGAGTTTTGCCCTGATAGTTGTGCTCACATGTGCATGTGGAGAGCGTGTCGATGATTGAGGGCTTGTTTGAAGTGTTCTGAGTCAATGAGAGTTGAACCCCAAGTGACAAGCTGTGAAATCAATAAGACAACAGTCAATATCCAACACTTAAGGTGCCTGTTGAAAAAAAAAGGACGCCAATAATTGTTATTAATACTCCGATTTTCCCAGAGCACTGTTTAAGGCCAATTCTAGTGAAACAGACTTCTCAAACACAATTGTGCCCTGAAGCTACGCAACCATAATCACATGCAAAACAAGGTTGTGATTATGTTGTAAATAATGAGGAAGGACTGTGAACAGCAGTGAACAATAGCGTAAATAATAAGTGGGTCATATGCATTTGTGTAGTGCTGTTGAGCTTCGCACATCTCATTTTCAAGCTCATCTATGAGTGGGTTGTGTTCCAAGAAAGGCAATAAAGCAACTTTATTCATGCCACATTATAGACAAATCATCTGTGATTATTAAAATTAGGTAACAAGCTACATTTTTTTTAAATAAGGGATGAAGTTACTTTATTAATAATATCCTGATTTAAATACTATGATTTGCCAACAGCAATGTGTGTTTTTTATCATTCCGCTTGTAGGTAAACTATAAAAAAAGACTACTGGAGTATATTTGACAAGAAAATATTATTTCATTCTTTCTACTTTAACGTGTTGCCATATCTTTGCAATACTTGTGAACTTTACTAGCAAATTTACTTTCTGAGTTAAAATAGTTTCAAGGTAAATCCTACACCATTTTTTTTTTCAGTGTGTTTGTTCAGACAGATTGTGGATGCATCAAAATGTGTATATTTCCCTGTTTTATAGTGAGTGAAAACGGAAGCCTAAATGAAAGTAGTAGTATGTCCAAGTTCACAGTATTTGTAAAATACTAAAACTTGGTGAAAAGTACCTGCATGACCTCTTTCCACCGAGATTCTTAAGTTTGCATCAATGGACATTTTACTAAGCAAAGCTCTGATTCAACACTTTTTAACGATCGTAAGGTAAGTAATTCTTCAAAAATATGTACCTGCTCAGTATGTCATTTTGGACAGCATGTCAGTAGTCAGGATTTTACATTGCTGCAATAAGTGAGCTCTGAGTGAGTCATTGAATCATTCACTCTTATTCGACTTGTTCAATAACATGGATTAATTCAAGAATGAGACACAACTTTCTTTGAAACTGTTTTCGCCGGTGGAGTAGACAAAATAGACAAAGTGGCGATATTGTGTCTAAAAAAGACACATTCACATTTATTGTATAAAACATAACACTGGCAGAGCATTTTAAATGGGACAGTTTATTGAACATTTCAACAAAATATAATTCAAAATACTACATATGGTGTAGAAAAATATTGAGCTCATACTCATAGGGAAAAAATAATTTATTCAGAGGCCTAAAAAGAGCACATATATGTCATTTAGGTATGTTATTCATATGGCAAAAAGTTGGGTGAAATTTTGTAAAGCTTTCACAGCAAAAGGACACGTGAGCCACGACCTGAAGTGTGAATGTTTTTAGAATGATACTAAAAGGCCTTTTACTTTTTTTAAACATTTATAAACTATCAATTAGATGACAGAAGGCATGTGGAAGATTGGTTACAATAGGTTTTTCAATATTTGATTAAGTTGATCATTTAGATGCCTTTATCAATTCATGCGCCAAATATGACAGAAGCTTTATAGTGTTAAAGGGATAGTTCACCCAAAAATGAAAATGTGATGTTTATCTGCTTACCCCCAGGGCGTCCAAGATGTAGGTGACTTTGTTTCTTCAGTAGAACACAAACGAAGATTTTTAAGTCAAACCGTTGCAGTCTGTCAGTCTTATAATCAGGGTGTCCGTGGGGTCTTAAAAAGTATTAAAGGTTGATAAATCAATTTAGAGAAAATGAAGGCCCTTAAAAAGTATTAAAAAGTTTTAAATGCCATTTTACAAGGTATTACATTTTGTATCATATTTTCATTATGTATATTTGTCGAATAGTGGGATTCTGTGTATTTTATTTATGGAATCCCGAAAGATTTGACGTCATCTGTTACGGCGCTCACTGACTGACTGTGCCGCTCCGCTCTCGCTGAATTTCTGACCATTACCGCATGCTCCCATCCACTCCCGCGATTTTTGTGTCTGGTCCCGCAAACATTCTAATATTGTATATAATTTTCGCGCATCAGGGCGCTGCTATCTATATGTGGGGTATTTAAATCCCTTTTGAATGAACGCTCGCAGTCGTAGTTCACTTTCGATTTCGGGATCGCGCGCGCACTGTGTAAAAGGAGCACATCCTACGATAAAAGATATATTAGTCAATGCGCTCGGGATCTGTTGAGGAGCAACATCTTGTCAGTTATCTCTCCTTACTTTTGACCCATGATCAGTCAAATCTGACTTCTGCAGCTCGTGTTGGATGCAGGGTTGTTGTTGTTGTTTTCCACAAAATTGGGCTGCTTTTAAAATGTTGCCATGGGTTGATTTTCCCCAGTGGGTTAAAGGTTTGAAATATTGAAACATCAAATCAAGCACTCCGTAATCACAGATAAACTGTCTGATCAGTCAGATGTTTGTCATGAGAAGTGTTCCACAAAACAGCTATGGTTTGCAGACAGTTATAAGAGTTGATGTTACAAATACATCTTTTGAATATACTGCTTTATTTTCTCTCCTCAATAAGTTCTGTCAGTTGTTTTGTTTATTGGTCTAATTCTTGTTTCTTTGGTTACATTGGTTAGTCACTCAATTCATTCTCTTGTGCTTCGTTCCCCACTTCTGAATAATGTTGTATTGATAAGGAGTTATCACAAAGTAAGTCTGTTTAGTTGCACTATCTTACAATCAATATATAGTAAATGTAAATTAAAGTGTCACCGATGTAACCAGTTAAAACTTGCAATGGCGATGAGGTCTTAAAATGTATGTAATGCGTCTTAAAAAAGGTCTTAAAAGGTATTAAATTTAACTCCATGATTCCTGTATATACCCTGATAATGCAAGTGGATGGGAATCATGGCTTTGAGAGTCAAAAAAAAACATACACAAACAAAACCAAATTAAACCCTGCGGCTCACGAATATACATTGATGTGTAAAGACACAATATGATCGGTCTGTGCAAGAAACTGAACAGTATTTATATAATTTTTTACCTCTGATTCACCGCAATGTCCGAACTGTCCTGAGCACGTTCAACAGTCGGCGCGTGATGCGTCTTTTTCTTTTTCTTGCTTTACGGCAGATCGCAGATTTATAAGTGCATTACCGGCATTACCGTGTCAACGGTCCATTTGAGAGAAAGGTGGCGGTAATGCACTTATAATTCTGCGATCTGCCGTAAAGCAAGAAAAAGAAGAAGACGCGTCACGCGCCGGCTGTTGAATGCGCTCAGGACGCGCTCAGGACAGTTCGGACATTGCGATCCATACACTATGTGGGACTCCAATGAAAACACTTCGATTTATTGGATTATAAAGACTAGGCGGTAATTTCAGACGAG